AGGGAACTCTATTTACCATACAATTTCCAACAATTCCTAGAGCTACTCTGTGTCACTTCAAGGTTTTCCCTAGAAGTGACGTAGGGATACAGATGACATTTCATGCCCCCCCTTGTTCCCATGCCTAATCCTCCCACCAGTTGCCAGGATTGCCCTGGCAACCTTAACTGGAGATCTGATTGGCTGTGCAGATTTTTAAAAAATGTTGCTTTGGCAGCCACTGACACCACAGGTAAATTACCTGTATGCTAGAAAATATTTTAAACCATGTGTTCATTTTAAAAGTTATCCTGTTAAATAGAAATTCTGCCTGAAATGCTGAAAGTTACTATTAGAGTTAGACCACTTCCTGACATTATAGGGTTGGCTCTTGAGGTTGCCATCCCCCCAATGGGGATGTGGGTTCCCCCACTTTTGGGGGCCCCAATCCAGCGATGGCTAGCTGGCCGGCAGGGGGAGCCCTGCCCCCGAAAAGAACAAAATTGGCAGAACCCCCTTTAAGCTGGCGCGTGGTCCAGTTCTGAGTCCCACTCAGTTAGAAACCAGCAGTGCAATAGACATTGGCCAATGTGAGTCACCATCAGTGCTGCAAACCTACTAGGGTTGACAGGTCCCCTCATCGATCCAACAGGGGGTTTGGGGGGTGTTCTAGGGGTGGGTGGGGAAATTAAGAAAGAATCATACTTGTCGTTGACCTTAGCTATGGACAATGGTGCACCATATAATAATATGGGAGCTAACTTCGCCTGGAAGGCCTGAATAGCAGCAAATACATAGTTACCGCCTGTGGTCCAAAATAATCTCAAAAGGTCTGACGAACGTATTGAAGCAAGCTTCTTAGCAGTATTAATATGTCTTGTCCAGAACAAATTATAGGACAACCGGACACCTAGATAACAAAAGGTGTTCACCTGAGCAATCGGCAAGAAGAACCTTTGCAAAAAAACAACCACTTTTGTCTTTTGATAATTTATATCTAAATAAACATAGATACAGTAGAGAGACAGCAGAGTGCAAAAGCATTTAAAAAATGTCTTAGCACAATATGTGACTAAGATAACAGCATGGCATCGTTGGCATAAAACACATTTGAAATAGGTCTTCAAGAGAGATGAAATGGGTGGAAGGACTCACCAGAAAGGTGATTGTCGATGTCGTTTATGTAGAGGTTAAAAAGATAGAGGGCCAAAAGGCAGCCCTGTTGAGCACCCCTATTCATTTTGATCTCTTTGGGCAGCTGTACATTGTTTCCACATCTTACCTGTGCAATATTATTTTGGTGTAGTTTATGGATTAACCAAAGAAGCTAACAGTCCATATAGAGGTCATGGCTAGTTTTCCCTACGATCTGGAATACAATCAAAAGCCCTGGTTAGGTTGATAAAAGCCACATATGGTTTACCTACAGATGGTTTAGTGTATTTTCTGCCAGATGGGCAAGAACTGCACAATCATCTAGAGTAGAGGCTTGTCTTTTGAAACCAGTCTGAGAGAGCATAAGGACCTGGTTGTCTGACTACCAAGATCATAATTTAATAAGCAGGTAAGGAGTAAATAATTTACTTAAGGAGAGCAGACTAATCAATTTATAATTATCAGGAAGCAAATAGTTGCCTTTTTGTGGATAGGAATAATTATTGATCTGGTATAGTGCCAGAGTTGCAGATATTTTGGGGGAAAGGAGCTTAAATCTTACTCCAACAAAAAATTACTCTTAAAGGGTTCATTGACAGTAAAGTCAGGGCCAGGGGCCTTACCAGTTTTGAGATTTGTGATGAGACTATCTATTTCTTTCTGTTATTGGGGGCCAAGGAGGAAGATTATCCAACAAATTATGTATATTAGTGATTGTAGGCAAGGCAACGGAGCCAAAGATGTTTTCAAAATAACTTTCCCAGATACTAGGTGAGATATGGCAGCATACATTAGGTGTTGCCGTCAGATCCCTGTCGACTAGGGACCAGAAGTTTGAGACATCATGATTATTGATGGCTGTAATCAATCTTTTTGAGCCTTCCTTTAAGAGCCTTCATTTTTAATGCCAAATAAGGTGTTTATATTGCAATCAAAATGGCCAATAATCTTTTAGAATTAATACGTCTATATGCTCTATAAATTCTTTGGATTTCTTAGAACATGCAACGCCAATCTCTATCAAACCAATATTTATTTCTGGTTTGGTGGCTGTGCATTGGTTGCCTCAGTCTTTTGACCATCAAATGGTTAAAGAGTTGAAGGATTTGCTCCAAAATGGTTGATTGCCTAGTGGACGAAGCCTCATTAATAAATTGGAATATAAAAGTTTGGCATGTGTTTGAGTAATAGATATTATGGACCTCCTTAGATTTATTGATGACCCAACAGGCTCTTACCTTACCTGAGCAGATTAAATCAGCCTCACGTTGTCGAGCGAGTTTCTCACTGAAAGGCAATGCTATTTCTACATAAAGTGGTATATGATCACTGCCCATCGGTTCACCCACCCTAAACATGGCACAGTAAGGTAGAAGATTTGAGGAAGCCAAGCAAAAATAGACTACACTGCATCCCTTCTCACTGAGTGTCCTGGTATAGGTGCAGGAAAGGCTGTGGATGGTGAAGTATAAAACCCCTATTCAGTTTGAGGGACTTTATCATTTATTTATTTATTTATACCTTCAATTTCTAGACCGCTCAACCCCCGAAGGGCTCTGAGCAATTTACATAGTACAGTTACCAATCCTAACTAGGGCCACACACAGTATTGGGGAAGGGAATGCCTACCAGGCACCCTACCAGTTAGTTGTTTATTTCAGCAGCTCTTCTCTTCTCTGCTTGCGTGGTAGCTCGGCTCAGCTCTGTAGCGGCCCCTGCTGGGGTGGTTCCGTCACCTGCGACTAAGTGACGATCATTGCACCGGCCTCTGTCCTAATTGGCTCCAGCCGAGCTTCGGACCAGTCCCCGCTTGCCTGCTCGATGTTTTGCTGCCATCTTCCATCCTCCTCCGTTGGATTGCCGGGTCGCCCTGCTGTCGTCGACACCACTGCTCCTCTCCATCGCCGCTCCACCGAAGGCGGGTCCCCCCTTCTTCTAAGGCAGGTACCCATTTATCTACTTGCAAGCTTTCGAACCGCTGGGTGGGCGGGAGCTAGGACGAGGGCCGGGAGCTCACCCCGGCCGCGGTGGGACTCGAACAGCCTAATGGCTGTTGATAGATTTTACTTTGCAGGCTCTTTACTGCCTGCACCACCGCTCCTATATAAAAAGAGAAATGCTGGGATCGAAAGGGGATGACGTTATGACAATGTGATCCCCTCCAATTAAGCCTTCTCCTGGCCAATGTGTATATGTATATCAAAAGAATTAGCTGTTGATTCATAAATACTGTGGTTGGAGTAAACTGCAAAAAACACAGAGTTGGGGCAGAGAAGTCATACCTTTGACCATCCAAGACCCCAGTCACATGGGCCAGATAACGTGGGGGAAGGCATGGCTTTTCGCGCTGGCACAATTTAACGTGCCAGAACGCGATCAGACGTGGCGGCAGCAAATTGGGGTTTTGTTTGTCGGCGCATGTTTCCGGCGCACGTCAACATGGCAAGAGGAGCATGCTTGAGCGATCACATGTAGGTATACCCTTGACGGCCCGTAGCAAACCATTTGCTAGTAGGCTTTCTTGGGTATTTTTTAACTCTGGATCTTCGGGCGGATGCTACGGGTCCGCGATGGGTGTGCTACACTTGCCAGATGTGTCCTTGTGATCGTGCCCGTTTACTCCGCCCGACATTCATGCCTCTGCTGCGGCAAATCCTCCGTGTGACCAGGGCCCAAGATAGCTTTAATCTGTAACATAACTAGGTTCATACCTGTTAAGACTGGACAAAAATTCTCTTTATATCACTTCACAGAGGAACAGACAAAGGTCTCGACTTAAGACCATGGAAAGCTGTCGTCAGTCACAGTAGACAGTTTTGATCTTAATAGGTCAATGGCCCGATCCAGAATACATCAGTTTCATCTGCAGAAGGGGACATGGCTCCTCAGTGGTAGAACATCTACTTTGCATGTTCAATCTCTGGCATCTCCAGTTCAAATGATCAGGTAGTAGGAGATGTAAGAGCCTTCTGCCTGAAACCCTAGGAAGCCACTGCTGGTCAGATTAAACAATACTGACCTTGATGGACCAAGGCTCTGACACATTACAAGGCAGCTTCACATGTTCAACTACAATGAGAGAAACATGGGGTAAAGAGGGAAGATATGATCAGACATACGATGTCGTACCAATGGTGTAAACTAATCTTTAAGAGCCAATAATTCCATGAAAAGGGGTCGGAGCAGAATCATCTAAGAGATACAGAAAGTGGCAAGATTTTAACAGTGGGTTAGAAAGCAATTTTCTTCTCACAAATCCCTGAAGTAATTGTTTTATTTTCATTCTTCTCTTCCTCCCAAGAGCACAAATGGTTGGAGTTCTCGGGTGTTGTTCCATTCAAGTATCGCTTAGGCCCGGGTCCTCTTAGCTTCTCGGACAGAACATCACTGTGAGTCTTCAGACCACTTTTTTGTTATAAAGTCTAGAGGTAGAACACAAATTGCAACAAGACACAGGAGCTCAGTTTTAGGGGCAGATTGTGCCAGGTATTAGAAGCATCTCATGAACATAAGCTTTAAAAACTGGCTCGTACAGTCTTGACCTAGATAGTCTAGCCAAGCCTGATCTCATCGGATCTCAGAAGCTAAGCAGGGTTGACTCTGGCAAATACTTGGATGGGAGACCTCCTTGGAATATCAGAGCCGGGAGACAGGGACAGGCTTTACTCAGCCACCTCTCTGAATGTCCTCCAAGTGCCCATTAGGGGTCAGTCACCAGAGGTCACCATGACTTCCAGGTGCACACACATGCATGCATACACACACACATGCACATAAAAATACAAAAAAACAAAACAAAACCCTGGCCCATATATACTAGTGATGCTGTGATCCTCACAAACAGTACACTTGAAAATTCAACTTACCACAATCACAGTACTCTCTATTAAGTTCTGGTCTCATTCTTCCCACCTTCTGCTTGGCCTGATGAAACAGAAACTCCTGAGGATACATCTGCAAAAAAAAGGAAAAGAAAGAAAAGGAAAAGTAGAGAAGAGATTGGATTTATACCCCGCCCTTCACTGCCCAAAGGTGTCTCAGAGCGGCTTACAAACTCCTTTTCCTTCCCCTCCCCACAACAGACACCCTGTGAGGTAGGTGGGGCTGAGAGAGCTCTTTTGAGAACTGCCCTTGAGAGAACAGCTCTGATAGCCCAGGCTAGCCTGATCTTGTCAGACCTCGGAAGCTAAGCAGGGTCATCCCTGGCTAGTATTTGGATGCGAGACCTCGGAGGAATACCAGGGCTGTAACACGGAGGCAGGCAATGGCAAACCACCTCTGAATGTCTCTTGCCTTGAAAATCCTACAGGGTTGCCATAAGTTTGGTGATTGCTAGGGAAGCAACTTACCCTCCCTCTTCTCCTGCCTCCTCCTGGCTGAATGAGGGCCAGAAGCGGGGCGGCCGGAAGCAGGGGGGGGGCTTTGCCATGTGCCCCGCCCCCTGTACCTCACCCGGGGGAACTGCGATCCCCCGCGATCCCCCCCGAAATGACCTCTGTGTGTATGTGATTAATATATTCTTAAGTAAAAGACAGATTATTTTGGAACCGACAGCCTTGACTCTTTTACTGGCAACCCAGAGTAAAATTTGCCAACTGCTGTAGATAAAGCAGTTCGGCTAACATACTGAAGTTCTGCAATTGCACCTCTTCCCCTTCAGACACAAGAAACTGCTCATGCTAGTAGTAGTAGTATTTATTCCACTTCTATCTCACCAATTTCCCTCAGGCAGCTCAGTATCCCACAGGAAACACTGGGGTTTTTTTACAGGTTTAAAATAAAGCAGATTTTTCTGTGGAAGAAATGGGCTGTTAATGTGCGCAAACAGAGGATGACGTCACGTGGAAACATGGGATGTGGTAACACTGGTGGCTTGGTGCGATATGGTGCCTGCGTCTAATTGTACTGGTTTAAAATGTTGCGGGGCAAATCATCCAGACAGCGCACCCTGCTGTGGGTTACCCACATGGCCATCCTGTAGTCAAGCATCCATATTACTGCAGTGCCTCAACCATCCATGGAGCATGCTGCCCAGTCTTTTTTTTAAAAAAAAAAATGCAGGTGGATGCATGTGCATATGCGCTTATGCATGTATGTGCATATAGACAAAAACTCCCAAAAAAACCTCAGCTGCAGAAACGGATCTGCAGGTTCAGAGTGCCAATCCATACTGCACATGCTCCAACCATGCGCAACAAATGCACGGGGAACCAAAACCACCACTTGTGGTGCCTTTTTAACTGAGCTCCAAGTCATCCTACAATGGGGTGAGTATGCCTGGAAAACACCTGACAGATGTGGCTGTGTGACTGTGCTCATTTAATCCGGAGGGGTGACTATGTCGGGCCAAACTGCTCATGCATTCACACCCATGGAAAAAATGCACCAGTTGGGTGGCTGAAACATGGGAAAACCTTAGTATGAAAACCACCTTGGTCACTTTAATGAACACTGTTCCATAAGGTGGCACAATTTAGTTCTCTGACTGGACAAAAGTACCCACCATGACCTTGACCTCTAGCACAAGCAACTACAGCTCCAGCAGGAGATCTGCTGAGCACAGTGCGATGCTCAAGATAAAATTTGCCAGGGAGCATTCAGATGAGCTGATCAGAAGCTCATATCACATGTAGCTGAAGGAATCTGAGCACAGCAAGTTTGCCTGGCAATCATGCTCACATCAAAGTTCTCAGCATGCTGATGTAAGACCCACAGAGTGTGGTGGTGGAAAGTGTAATGAGTGTAATTGTTTCAGTCACCACTAAAGCTTGTGCCTACTCTTTCATATATCAAGGGCTTGAACTCACTCAGATGTGTCTCAGTCAGGAATTGCATTGCCAGGAAATCACAGTGCTGAGCAGGTGGCGTCTGCAAAACTTGGGAGACCTCTGGGCCGATGTGAAAGAAATTCTGCTCTGTGGCATTGTAAAGTGGCCACTCTCCTTCGCTGGCTGTAGGCCCACTGGGATTCCTGCAGAGGAAACAAAGAAATTGTAATCCAGCCACGGCCTGTAGTTTCAGGTGGTGTTTGTAGTGCAGAGATTAGAATGAATGATACTTCAAAATAAATTAACCAACTCGCCATTCTTTTAAGTTTGAATTGTTCTTCAGGACACTTCCCTTGAAATTCACTAAGACATACATCTGAATAGATTGAAATTAATTAGCATGTGCTGTTTACTCCTGAGAATGAAGGCAACATCTACCATACTATGGAAGCCAGGCTAAATGTGGTTAAAAAGGCTGCCGCTACCTTAGTAGCAACTTCTGGAAGGGCGTGAGAAAATGTCTATTGTTACCTGCGCATTTATTTCTTTGGACGTGTTCTCTACTCAGGACAAACCACTGGGAAAGAGGACGAAAGACAAATGGCTGCCTTAGATTTAGGACAGGGGTGGCTGAACTGCCACCTAATTTATTGAAACTGCCACCTAATTTATTGAAACTGCCACCTAATTTATTGAAACTGCCACCTAATTTATTGAAAATTTAAACCCATAATGCCTTCCCATGTGGCTCATGAAGCTTCCCCCCCCCACTTTGAAAGTGGAGGATTTTCTTCCCATGGCCAGCCTTATTTGAGAGTTGGGTAGTTGGGTGGGTGAATGGGTGGGTGGGAAGGGAGCCAGGGACTGCTGGAAGCTAAACCCTGCCCCCGGCAGCAGCCATCACATGCTGCCTCTCCACGTGCTGCCGTGTTGGTGGTGGGGACTACTTTCGGGGGGTGGGGTGGCGGGGACTGCTTTTGCTCACAGGTTCTGAGGAATCAAATCTGAGTGCTTTGTAGTATAATGGGATTTATGGTATCCTGCAGAAGACTTCCTCTACATTAAAAAAATTGTTTGAGTGACTGGAGGCCTTTCTCACTTTATCTGGTTGTTCCAACCTATAAAATTTTGGAGTGTGGATAAGTTTATTACCTGCATCATTAAAGTTTTTGGGGGTGCTGGGGGGGTTCAATGCTCAGCAGAGTGTATGTTTTAGAGTAGACTTCCCTAGTCTCAATCCCTGGCAACCTTCAGGAAAAGAATTTTAGATTATTGTGCTGAGATGTTAGCCATTACCTATCAGAGCAGACTGTGTTGAACTAGTTGGACCGATGGTTTTACTCTGTATACAGAAAATTCCTGGGTGTCAATTAAAGGTCCAAGACCCAAAGTCTTCCTCAGTAAATAGTTTTTTGTGTACCCAGCGAGACCGCACATATGGTCGCACCGAACACCTGGCCATGCGAAGGGCCCAAGCTTCGCTTCCAAAGACAATAGCCCAAACGGATCCTAGCGCACACCTATTGGATGGCTATGATCCAAGGAGGGACCTATGGGACTGGGGGACACTGTAAATAGCCTATCACGGTTGTGGGTGGGTGTTTGGGGTGTGGTTTGCTATGTGGATATAAGCCGGCCTCGGGCCAGACTAAGTATCTCAAGTTATCCTGTACATAATAAAGTATGAGCTGAAATCACTTCTCCATGCGTCAGTCTCAGTACTTTATAAGTTTACTACAGTTTTCAAGCACAATTTGACTTGGCAGTGCTGGAAGAAAATGAGAAACCTTGAACTGCAAATAGGCAGTCTTTTGTTGTTGTTGTTTTGAGCCCTGGAGTAATCAATATGCAAACATTCTTATGAAAATTTCCCAGTCTTTATTGAGACGATTAGGTAGAAAATCTATACTTTATTATTTTTTATTATTTTTCAATGAAAAAGTATCCGAATAAATATCTGAAGTGTTCTTGAGCTGATTTCAGTAAAGTGGTAGGAAAAGATTACTTAGGGTTTTGAGAGTCAACGGAGAATGGGGGCTGACTTAATGTAACTACCAAAACTGAAGCCAATTTATCCATTAGATGACTGGCTGGTGGTTTGGTCAGTTTGTATGTAATAGGTAAGCAAAATGTGTGATCATCTTATTTCAACCTGATACATTCAATACACTCTTAAGTACCCTGTAGTGTAGCTCTGAAAGAAATCCCAACTGTGTTCGAAAATGATGGAAGAGACCCCTCCCATGCTTTCCTGAATCCTATGTAAAATTACAATTGACTATTTGTTGTTGTTCAGTCGCACAGTCGAGTCCAACTCTTCGAGACCCCATGGACCAGATCACGCCAGGCCCTCCTGTCTTCCACCATCCTCTGAAGTTTGCTCAGTTTCATGTTTGTTGCATCTATGACACTGTCTAACCATCTCATCCTTTGCCCTCCCTGTCTTCTTTGACCTTCAATCTTTCCCAGCATCAGGGTCTTCTCCAGTGAGTGCTCCCTTCTCATTTGGTGGCCAAAGTATTTGAGATTCAGTTTCATTATCTGGCCTTCCAGGGAACAGTCAGGGTTGATTTCTTTCAGGAATGACTAATTTGATCTTCTTGCAGTCCAAGGGACTCTCAAGAGTCTTCTCCAGCACCATAGTTCAAAAGAATCTATTGACTATTGACAATTGACTATTAGTGGGGAGAAATTCTTTCAAAAGAATGTCCATCATTATTCTTTGGATTTGTCTAAACCTGATGGAGATTGAAGTCCCTTTGCTGGACATCTCTGTGGATATCTGAAACCACAAAAGTGACAGATCCAGCCTCACCAGTATTTCTTTTCAGTCATTGTACCCTATTGCAGACATGGTGGTATTTAATACAGAGGTTATGGAGAACCAGTGGAGCATTATATTAGTGTTATTATTATTATTTGGTTCTCAGGCATGTGAATTTAAACTGAATTCATACCTGTGGAATGTCTGAAGCACCAAAATGGAAATAATGCTTTAGTTCTGATGGCTTGGATCCCACAGAGAATTTCCACAGACGGAAGGGATTTTCTTCTGCAGAGCATGACTTGCTTGCTTCCCATTGTAGCCCAAAATGCCTCCTAAAATGCTGCTCCTAAATGATAGTAACCCCCGACAGAATAGCATGAAGGGGGGAGTCAGAGGTCTGTCACGTGCTGTGATGTCACTTCCAGGTCAGGTGATGTCACTTCCTAAGGTCCACCCCTTCCAATGATGTCACATCCTGCACCAAACCCCACCCTTTCCTGTGATGTCACTTTCAAGCCACTTGTGCTGCCTCCCCACCCCCCCAAAAGCAGTCCCCGCCATCCTCTCCGGTGGAGTGACCAGGCTGCCTGCGGCCTGGCCGCTCTCGCCAGCTTCCCCCCCGAAAGCAGTCCCCGCCACCCTCTCCAGACCGGGCTGCCTGTGACCCAGCCGCTCTCGCCAGCCACCCTACCCCCTGAAAGCAGTCCCCACCGGCCACTCTTGCAAGCCACCCCACCCCCCAAAAGCAGTCCTCGCCACCAACACCCAGCCCAACTTACCTTTCTGTCTCCCGGCAGCACGTGGAGAGGCAGCACGTGAAGGCTGCTCCCAGGGGTGGGGCTTAGCTTCCAGCAGTCCCTGGCTCCCTTCCCACCCACCCACACACCCAACTCTCAAACAAGGCTGGCTGCGAGAAGAAAATCCTCCATTTTCAAAGCGGGGGGGGAGCTTGGGGGGGGGAGGAAAGCTTCGTGAGCCGCATGGGAAGGCTCCAAGAGCTGGCACAGGCTTTTGCATTATGGGTTTAAATTTTCAATAAATGGTTTTAACTTTGGAACAGCTGTCTTTCTCTCTGAAACTATAGGGTCTTGCCCGTTTCCATCCCCCGCCCTTACCGAACCAGGTGGGAATGGGAGTCCAACGAAAGGTTCCTGCATTCCTAATTTCCCCAACATGAGTGTTCTACCCCAGGACGAAAAAAGGGTATCGAACTGTTCAGCTGAATGGCCCGGTGCCATAGCAAAGAATGGACCAATTGTATCGTCCATAATTAAGGTAAAGGTGTAAAGGTTCCCTTGCTCAAAAGCCAGTCGAGTCTGACTCTAGGGTTGCGGTGCTCATCTCCATTTCAAAGCCAAAGAGCCAGCGCTGTCCGAAGACGTTTCCGTGGTCATGTGGCCGGCATGACTAAACACCAAGGCGCACGGAACGCTGTGATCGTCCATAATTACTTTATAATAATTACAAAACAGCAGCACGTGGGATACAATCTCTCTATCACCCCTGCACCACAAGAACAAAGTCAATCATTTAAAGGAACGTTCTTGTAATGACGGTGAAATGTTGCTGATGGTAAAATGTTAAAACAAGCTAATGCAAAAGGTCTCCTATGTTTTGGAACAAAGCACTCACGTCCCAAAGGTGGCACAGTATAGCCTGAACTCATCAGATCTCTGAAGCTAAGCAGTGTCAGTACTTGGATGGGAGGCCACCAAGGCAGAATCTGCAGGGGAAGGCAATGGCAAACCACCTCTGCTTCTCATTTGCCTTGGAAGGCCCTTGCTGGGGTCACCATATGGGACTGGACAGCACTATACACACACACATTTGTGTCCCATGCTATGTTCAAAATCTGGTCTTTAAAATGGAGAGATGGGGTTTTGTTGTTTTTTTCAATATCTTACCCACTTCTGGCAAATTCTGCCCAGTACCGCATCACTTTGCGGCTCAGCGCAGCCTCAGCTTCGGTCAAGGATTGGTTAGCCCCTCCCCGCACTGTCGACAAGGTTCCAAACAGGTAAGGCAGCTCAGATCCATGGGCTGCCCCCATCCACTCATGCCAGATGAAGCCAGAGACAGGATGGTCAAAGGAGTAGGCATACACAGTACTTCCTGCTTCCGCCAACTTGGCAGCCGCTTCAACCAATGGGCATACAAAAAAGTAATCTTTCGAGAGTCGGGCCAAAGCCCAGCGGTAGTGTTCCGGCTCATGGCCATTTTCAAGGTACTTCAGCGCGACAGCTTTGGCATCGTTTAAAATTCTCCTGCTCGCTGTTGCCTGCACCCCTTCCACGAGCTGCTCCCAGGTCAGTAAGCCATCCCCTTCTATGGCTCTAGGAACAGAATATAACACGTAGACAGACCCATCATCACCCGTGACCCCAATGAGAAGTGATTTGGCCTGAACCTGCCCACTCTCCAGAAGCTTTCGTGGCTCTCCAGGAAGGAAGTCACCATCCGGAGTGGGTGCGAAGAGAAAACTGAACTCATTAAACCCATTCTTTTTGATTTCCATTCTCTGTAGGCAGCTCATGACATCAGTGTGGTTCTCACTCAGGCAGCCCAGTAGGTGACCGACCCTCATGCTGGTTTTTCTTAGCCTCTCAGGTTCCTTCAGTGCCCAGGGGGCATTGGGAGAGCCGCTCTGTAGCACAGCCCGGGCAAAAAGGGGCTGGCTCGTCGGTGACAGGAGGTGGAAACCCACCGAGGCTGCTCCAGCACTGTGGCCAAAGAGAGTTAGCCCAGCTGGGTCGCCCCCAAAGGCAGCTGCATTCTCCTTCAACCATTTCAGAGCCAGCTGTTGGTCCCATAAGCCCATATTTCCTGGGGCAGCTGGTGGCAAGTAGAGAAAACCCAGAACCCCCAAGCGGTAGTTCATGGAGGCCACAATGACATTCTCCGTAGCTGCTAGGAGTGCTCCGTTGTTTAAGTCATGGGAACCGGCACCAGCGACATAGCCCCCACCATGGATCCAAGCGAGGACAGGAGCCGGTGTTGTGGGCTGAGGATACGGCACCCAGATGTTGAGAAACAAACAGTCCTCTGAGAACGGTGTCTTGGCGACCCACATGGTGGAATAAGGCAAGGAATAAGAAGTTTCCTGGTGACACGAGTTGCCAGAGCTGGTGGCCTCCAAAACGTGACTCCATGGCTGACGGGGCTGGGGCTTCTGGAACCGCAATGTCCCCACTGGCGGCTCTGCATAGGGGATGCCCAGGTAGGCAGTCACCGAACCAGAACCAACCTGAAGCCGCTTGCCCTTAAGGGGTCCCGTGCTGGTGACTACCACAGTGCCCTCTTCAGTGGCAAAACTGGAACCCAGCAGGAAGAGGAGGACCACACGGTACAAGAGTGAAGAGATGGGGCTGGACATTGCAGCCGCTGAAATAGACAAGCCCCCAAAGCAGTTACATGAAATACATCTTGGCTCTGATCTAATACTGTGCACACAAAGCCTCTTTCTAAAATCCCAGTCATTAACTGCTTGTAGGGAGATGGGAGGCGGCTCAAAATCCCTCATTACTACCACCTCTACAGATTCACTGGGCTTTCCGTTTCCTTCCTCAAATGTCAGTCCATGAGTAGCCCCAGATATTAGATCATGCAATGCTCATCTGAATGGTCCATTCAATGATGGATACATGTTTGGAAGTTCCACAAGGGAATGCCTCCTTCAGATATGCCCGCAACAAACTAAATGTACATTAGCTCAGGTGACTGGCCCTGTTGGCTGCAGCACAAACTGAGCTGAGTGTGCTGAATTCTAAATACAAAAATACGGATTATTGCATGGAAAGGTGCAAGCCTGAAATGATTGGTATACTTGAGCCTGTGTATTGGTCTATCCATATGGTCAGTTAGTGCCTTGTGATTTGCAGCTCAACCCAGTTTGGTATAGTGGTTAGGAGCGCGAGCTCTAATCTGGGGGGACCGAGTTTGATTCCCCACTCTTCCAGCTGCTGGTGTGACCTTGGGTCAGTCACAAGTCCTTTCAGAGCTGTTCTCTCACGAGCAATTCTCGAAAGAGCTCTCTCAGCCCCACCTACCTCACAGGGTGTCACAGGGTACAGAAAATGGAGTATAAAAACCCACTCTTCTTTTTCCATGCCAATCCATTCTACCATAACTATGCTATATGTTTGGTCCTTGAAGGTAACTCAGAAGATTCAGTTGGTCAGAATGGGACCACCATTAGCCCATGCCAATTTTGTAGCAATTATCTGAGCTGCCCATTTACTTCTGGGTTAAGTTCAAGGTGCTGGTCAATATCATTAAAATGCTTCATGCCCTGTGCTCCACATGTCTGAGGGACTGACTTTGTAGACCTCTTACGTTGCTGATACCAGCTCAACAATCCCTACTGACCTTTTTTTTTAAAGTATTTTTATTGAGATTTTTCCCATAACCCACACCCGGCATAATATAACATAGAATTTCAAAATCAGTTTACATAGATGAGCATACAGCCCTAATCTTTCCTCTTACTTCATATCTGATCTTCTCCTAACCCGTTCAGTTTATTTTCAACTTAAATAAGTTTTCCCATTTCTTATTAGCTATTTCTTCATCTTTCCCGTTTAATAAACTTGATAGTTTATCCATTTCGGCAACTTAGAACCATTTCTGAACTACTTCTAATTTATCTGGTATTTTTTCAGTTTTCCAATACTTAGCGTAACACATTCTGGCAGCGGTTATACAGTGTAACAACAGACTCCTCCCTTCTTTCCCACGTATTTCTGGTACAATGTTTAACAGGAAGATTTCGGGATTTAAGGCTATCGGTACTTCCAAAACTTCTTCTAACATATTTCTAGTCCTCTGCCAATATTTTCTGGCCTTAGTACACGTCCACCACATATGGAAATATGTGCCAATATTCTGACGACATTTCCAACAAATATTTGTCGAGGTCTCAGAGTACTTTGCCAGTCTTGAGGGGTATAAGTACCACCTATGTACCACTTTATAAATATTTTCTTTGAAAGGAGTCGCCCTCGTGATTTTTATGTTTGTCTCCCATATTTTCAACCATTTATGCTGCTCTATATCATGCCCTAGATCTTTATTCCATGCTCTTAAACTGGCCCATATCACTTCTTCCTGTGTTTTCCCGTCTAACAACATTTTATATAACCTCTTTATCAGTTGTACTTCTGATGTAAACCATATCTTATCCATGTCTGTCGCCTTATCATAAAACCCAATTTTCAGATCTTCTTTAAACCTTGATTTTAACTGCATATTCTGAAGCCATGTCAATTCTATTTTTTGTGTTTTCAAGATGTCCATTGATTTTAAATTATTCTCGTTATCTAACAGAGTATCATAAGAACAGCTGTTGTTGTGTGAATATAAAGTTGGTATTTCTAAAGCTTCTATGGGAGCTACCCATCTCGGTATCTTCTTGTAGTATTATAGCTTAACCTCCCTCCAAATTTTTCTCAAGTACCCTCTCAAATAGTGGCGTTCAAAGTATTTCTTGTCTTTATTGTACCATAACGTAGCGTGCCACCCCATTGGGAGGTCAGAACCCTCTAGTTTTAGGAGTCTACTATTGGAAAGTGTTGCCCATTCCCTTATCCACACTAAGGCCGCAGCCTTGTAGTATAGCTCCCAGTCCGGCACTGCGAAACCACCTATCTCCTTCCTGCTTTGCATCAGCTGTAATTTGAATCTTGGTTTTTTTGCTTGCCAAATAAACAAAGAACAGATCTTCCCCAGTTCTTTAAAAAAGAGCTGATTCTTAACAATAGGTATTGTTTGGAAGAGAAACATTAATTTCGGTAGGACTGACATTTTGATGGTAGCAATTCTACCTAGCAGGGATAACTGTAGATCTTTCCAATTTTCCAGATCTTTCTTAACTTCTAAAAGTGTGTTCCTATAATTATCTTTAAAGAGTGAACTACATTTGTTTGTTATCCAAATACCTAGGTATTTAATCTTCTTGGTTACTACAAATCCTGTTTTTTCTTGTATCGTTTTTTCAATATTCTTAGGGCAATTCTTTGTTAGTACTTTAGACTTTTGGTAATTTACCTTCAATCCCGCCGCCTGACCATATATTTGTAAGTTGTGAGTCAGGTTCACTAAAGATGTTACAGGTTCTTCTAATACAAATACTAAGTCGTCGGCGTAAGCCTGTACTTTAAATTGTTCTCCTTTAACGTCTAATCCCTTAATTGATGTATCTGCCCTCACCATATCATTAAGCGTTTCTATCGTGAAAATAAAAAGTAAAGGGGACAGCGGGCATCCTTGCCTTGTCCCTTTGTGTATTTGTATCGTCTTGGTCATGTATCCATTGAAGGTTATTCTAGCTTCCTGTTGTTGATAGATTGCTTGTATCATACTAAGAAAGTTCTCTCCACAATCCCATAGTTTACGTTGTTTCAATATATATTCCCAACTGACATTGTCGAATGCCTTTTCGGCATCTAAAAATAACAAAGCTAGCTGATTACCTGGGTTAGTCTCATAAAATTCTAACACGTCTAGGATGGTTCTAACATTATTTCTTAGATGTCTTTGTGGTAGAAACCCTGTTTGGTCACTATGTATAACTTGTTGTAATACTTTCTTCAGCCTATCCGCTAATATTGCCGCATAAATTTTATAATCACTATTGAGTAGTGAGATAGGTCTATAGTTTTTTATCTGTGTTACATCGGCTTGTTGTTTTGGTATTAAGGTAATCAGTGCTTCTTCCCAGGATTTCGGAAATCTTTTATTATCGATAATATTTTGGATAGTTAATTTCAGAGGTATATCGATTTGATTTCTAAAGGTCTGGTAAAATTCCGCTGACAATCCTTCAGGTCCAGGGGTCTTCCTCATCTTTAGTCTTTTAATCAATTCAGTTATCTCAGCTAGTGTAATTGGGTCATTTAATATGTTTTTTTGCTCTACTGTAAACCTTTTCTTGTTATATGTATTTAAGAACGAATCTATTACCCGTGCATCTTGCTCCTTTTGTTCATATAACTTTCCATAAAAATCCTCTATTATTTTTTGCATCTCTTCTAAGGTGAAACAGTTGACTGCTTGATCGTTTTTTAGCATTTTTATCTGTTTATTTTCCTTATTTCTCTTTAGCCTATATGCTAACCACCTTGAGGGTTTATTCCCTTTCTCAAAGAACTAGTGTCTTGCAAATTTTATTTTTTCCGCCATCTCTTGGGTCAATAAACTATTCAGCTGATGTTGTAATTTCACGGTACTGAGTCTTAACCGAATTGATTGGGGGTCCATTTTCAAATCTGCTTCTCCTTTCTTAATTAAAGTCACTAACTGTTTATATTTCTCTTGTTTTTGCTTTTTCAACCAAATTTCTTGTCTTATCAATCTCCCTCTCGCAAAGGCCTTAAAAGCATCCCACACTATATCAATATTTGTTTCCGGTATTAGATTTTGCTTGAAAAAAGACTCAAATTCTACTTTACATTCCTGCACAAAAGATTGGTTATTCAGTAACCATGTTTTCAGCATCCATCTTGAAGATTTAATTGAATCACAAATTTCTACAAGTACCGGATTATGATCGGCAAACGTTGATGGCAGTATCTCCACTTCTACAACATCTGTTAGCACAGTGCTCGAGGCCCTACTGACCTTCTGATACCAGCTCAACAATCCCTACTGACCTTCCCATTATTTCATATAATCCATCTGCTTTTGGACAGATAGTGAGCTTTTCTGTGGCCAACCCCCTTCTCTGCTAGGGTTACCAAACTCCAGGTGGGGCCTGCAGTGTCTCCTGCTATTATAGATCCAGGTAGTCAGTGTGTTGGTTTGAAGCAGGAGAACAAATTTAGAGTCCAGTGGCACATTTAAAACCAACAAGGATTTATTCAAGGTATGAGCTTTTGTGTGCACGCACACTTTTTCAAATACAGTAGAGTGGGAGGTAAAGTTCAAACTTATAGATGGGCTGAACAGCAAATTAACATGAAACATGATGGAGATGCAAAAACAGAATTAAACAACAAGCTGAGGTTATAAGGTCGACAGTTGTAAAGCAATAAATATGTCAGAGGATAAATGGACACAAAGCAAACCCTACACCAGAAGATAAATGGATACAAATCTGAGATCAGGAATCACAAGATTGAGAAACCTGTAGGAGAACACTTCAACCTTCCAGAACATTCAGTGGGTGACCTCAGGGTAGCTGTTTTATTACAAAGGAACTTCAGGAACAGAATGGAAAGGGAAATTGCTGAATTTCAAGTTACTACAACACTTGGAACAAAAACCTCCCCAGGACTCAACAGGGATATTGGTTTCTTATCTCATTACATATGCTAACTCATTCAGTCCTCACATATGTATTCTCATACAGAGGGACTATACATCCTCTGTATTTTAGTG